GAATAATCATGATTACAATTATGACCAAAATAATTATGTAATAATAATTATTACCGAGCAGCCCTAAGTCGCGCCTTGTGCCGGGTGTATGATAAGACCAGATGTGTCTTGTAGCAAAAAATCTGTGAATTAAATTCCTTTCAATTTAATTAGCATCCTTAATTAGCATTCCTAAGCATCATGTTTCCGTCAATCATTCAATTCCATTTATTTTATATTTATTTATATAGCACTTTTACAATGTAGATTGTATCAAAGCAGCATAGAATACATAGAAGTACAAATAAAGTCCAGACTTCAGATATATATATATATATATATATATATATATATATATATATATATATATATTCACCCAGTTGTAGTCAGAATTATTAGCCCCCTTCAAATTTTTTTCTTCTTTTTTAAATATTTACCAAATGATGTTTAACAGAGCAAGGAAATTTTCACTGTATGTCTGATAATATTTTTTTCTTCTGGAGAAAGTCTTATTTGTTTTATTTCGGCTAGAATAAAAGCAGTTTTTAATTTTTCAAACATAATTTTAGGGACAAAATTATTAGCCTCTTTAAGCTAAATTTTTTTTATCAGTAATCTACAAAACAAACCACTGTTATACAATAACTCGCCTAATTACCCTAACCTGCCCAGTTAACCTAATTAACCTAGTGAAGCCTTTAAATGTAACTTTAGGCTGTACAGAAGTGTCTTGAAAAATATCTAGTCAAATATTTTTTACTGTCATCATGGCAAAGATAAAATAAATCAGTTATTAGAAATGAGTTATTAAAACTATTATGTTTAGAAATGTGTTCTCTCAGTTAAACAGAAATTGGGGAAAAATAAACAAGCGGTCTAATAATTCAGGGGGGCTAATAATTCTGTACTGGCTAGTAAATATAGTTGAGGTCGATATGCTCCAAAAATTGTCACTTGCTAAATTTTGACAAATATCCAAAATAATAAATACACAACATACAAACAATTTGCTGCAGTGTCCTGCTTAAAGGTTTAACTGACCCCAAATGATTCCCTATTTACTTACCCTCAAGTGGTTTCAAACATTTATGGAATTCTTTTTTATGTTGGTCACAAAATACCATATTTTGAAGAATGATATGTACAAATGATGAAAAAAAATTATATTGGTTTTCAACATTACCTTCTGTTTACACTAATACATTTAAGTTCTAAAACGATTACTTTGCTACGGTTACATATTCCATCTGCACTACGCCAGTGTTTTCAAGCACCAAAAACGGAGTGTTTTGAAAATGACATTCGCACTACCTGATTGGGGCTTTTTCTCAAGATCAAGTACACACAGTTCAGACTAGCATCCTTTCCTTGCAACAAACTCCCGAAGACATGAGGACACATTCTTGAAAATTCTTCAAATGTAACAGCAGTGTACTTTTATAACATCATTCACCCTGGATAAACTTAACAATAAAATGAAAACATGACATAAAGCACTCTCTTTTAATTTTTATATTAACAACTTAAACATAATAGAAAACAAAAATGTTAATGCATCATGTACATATTTATATGACCGTCATCTACACTGTATGCAAATTTATATCAAAACTAGGCCTAATAACTGCCTCCCTTCATTTTCATTGAAAAATATGAAACATTAGGCTCTTTGTGTGGTTTTACCAATATGTGCTTAATAAACCAAATTAATAGGTATATTAACTTATCTTTGTATCTGTTTAACTTATCTCAAAACATGTTACCTGAGGTAGGCTAATAGATCCAAGACCGACTCACTGGATATAGGTATAGACAAGAGGCTTTAACAACTACAGAGAGATGAGATCCAGCGGCAGATTCAAAATAGGCTGGGCGATGTTTGGCTTTTCTCAGATAAGCAGCTGTGCTCAGCTCAGAGCTACCGCTGACTGCCTTCAGCTCAGACGCGAGAATACGCTGAAGCAGCTTTCAGCAATTTCCAGAGTCCGTGTATGGTCACATGACGTGCGCTTTTAGCTGTGTAGTGTGGATGGAAGGCTTTTCAGAAACGCTAGATGAAATGCCAGTGTGGACGTGGATTGTTTTAATTGTAAAATGCTGATTTAAAAGGAAAATGTATTAGTGAACAGGCCTAAGGAAGACTAAAACAAAAACCCAACCAGAACATGCATATGATAACTATTTATGTACTATGCCTTTGCTACTCCGAAGACCTTTAAAATACAGTAAACTCATTTGTTTGGGTAACACTTCCTAAAGCCAAATATAAGCTTCTGAGATATAAATACAAAAAACTAAAAACAGTTATACATCTGTTGTAGTAACACTAAAAATAAGCTTTTACTTCAAGCCATTACTATCATAGGAATGTGAAACAGTACTTTTAATGTGGTTAAATTAATGTGATTCCCATTCAAGTGTGGCAGGTTACAGGTTAAGTTCAGATATTTAGCAGATGACAAACCGTTACAACAACATTTGAACAACAGAATAATTTGTAATATTGTTTTTATTATGCATACAATAAAGCACTAGTAGATTCAGCACTTATTTTGTGAATAGTACTTACTCTAAAGTTTATAGCAACTGAGAATGCATAAAGTTCACTTTAAACTCCTACACTTTGCAAAAATTGAGCACTGCAGAGCTTGCAAACTGCAATTCTGTATCAGTGTGACCCATTTCAAAGTCATTGCACAAATGAGACAGTCTCTTTATGGACAGGACAATTCTAATAAGTTTGATCTCTTTTAATTAGCAGGATATAATAAAAACACAAATAATGATACACATTATTACTATATACAGTATTAGTGCATCTCCACAATGAACTTGAAGCAAACACAAAAATTTAAGAATTAAGTATTAAAAACTTGATGCTAATTATACTACAATTACGAAAAAACACCTAAAACAAGGTTTACCTAAAACAAAGCCATCTTAAACCTTTTAGAAAGATTAATTTAAGCACTTTTCAAGCTCTTTCCATGTACACTCAACTGGCCAATACTCATCATGGCCTCCTAATCATCCCCAGCCACCAAATTGGCTGTATCACTGTCTCTCAACTGCCCTAATAGCTGGTGTGTGGTGGGCACACTGGCGCCATTGTCCTGTGGCTGCCGTCGCATCATCCAAGTGGATGCTGCACACTTGTTGTGGTGTGGAGAGACTGGATAAAAGTATCTTGAAAAATATCTAGTCAAATATTATTTACTGTCATCATGGCAGAGATAAAATAAGTCAGTTTTGAGAAATGAGTTATTAAAACTATTATGTTTAGAAATGTGTTGAGAAACTTTTCTCCGTTAAACAGAAATTAGTGGAAAAAAATAAACAGTAACTAATAAGTGACAAACTAATAATTCAGGAGGTTTAATAATTCTGACTTCAACTGTATATTTATCTTATATTTAATGTAGAATATACAAATATTACATTATTTAAAAATAATAATAACTATACAATAAATTGTAACAAAAACCCCCTTTGGGATTTGAGTCTCACTTATTTAGATTATATAATTCGTCTTCATCAATCTAGTGCTCAAGACGTGGCAAACTCCACAGCTCGAAGGGCGCACATACTGTAGATAAAAAAAGACCTGCAGATTATGCTACAGGCACAAGCACAGACTCCAGCAGAGTTTTCTTTTTTTGTGCAAAAGAAAAAGGACTTTATTTATATTGAAATATGTAGCTGTTAAATAGGATATATTATTATGAAATAAACATAACTGCTTTTTCAAACAATTTTTAAAGCACTTCATTCGAAATCTAAGCATATTTTGAAACCTTGAAAGCCCTACATTAAAATGCAAGCATTTTTAAGGATTTTCTATTTATACAATATTTTATGCCAAAAAAACTTACATTACATGCTTGTGATTAATACAATTCATTTGCAGATCAGGTAATTCAATTGATTATTCGATTTCCAGATCTGAATATATTTGATCATGTCTATTTTAACATAGGTTGGACTGAATTCTCGCATCTTTCTCTATGGATATAAAAAAGAAATTGGTGCTGCAGTAGGAGTGCATTCAAAGATGAAAAGAAAAAGAACAGAACAAAAGACTGTTGTGTGTCATTCTGTCAGCCTTGTTATCATTAGCACGCAGGAGTTCTGAAGCATTACGTGTTAATTAAAGCCAGAGTCTCCACAGGTATAATACTGTGCATTCGCAGCTTTCTGAAACCTCAGAAGTGAAGAAAAGTGCTGAATTTTCCATGTCACAGATAATGGAGTGCTTAGTGATGCTAATGGTTGGGGGTTTATTGGAGAGAGAAAGGACGAAGGGATGCTGGAGAGATGAGATAGGTCAAAAGGTTCATGTCACTTTCTGTCTTGTCTTTAAGGCTCACTGTCACATTGCATAAAACGCCAAGTCACTTGACCAACAAGCAATGAATACTCAATGGAGAGAGAGAGAGAGAGAGAGAGAGAGAGAGAGAGAGAGAGAGAGAGAGAGAGAGAATAGGAGAGGGAGAAATAATGTTTTCAAAAGAGTGATAGATGAGAGATAAAAATGCAGGTGAGAGAGATAGGAAGAAAGAAAACCCAGACAGACAGCTGGGCAGGTCTGTTTCATCAATCCATTCATGCCAGTAAACAAATGTATGAAAGAAGAGAGCGAATGTAATGCAATCATAAGCAAGCTAATTTGCTTTGAACCAGCAGGGAAAAAGCCATTTATGTTTCATGAATGAATAAACACACAAAAGTCAAAGTGGAAGATAACTATCATTTCCCTTCAAGAAGTAGAGCAACCTCTTAAAGTGCTGGATTTTGTACGTCCCAGAAAAGAGAAATGTTACGCAATATATTATAAAGGTCTGACACACTTTGAAATCAAATCTGAATTCAATTAAATCTAAATTACGTTTGTGACTAAATGAACTGACAAGCTAAATATAAAATAATAAAAACTGTCACATTTCTTTAACCTAACATTAGATTTAATTATGTTTAACTAATCAAATCCTGTCTAGCTTTACAATATAATTCCATTTACTTACCTTTCTCCCATGAGCCTCTGCCGTAATCCCACGATGAGCAGATGTCACTTTGTTCTGAAACACACAAGGTGACAGGTGAAACATGACTCACAAAATATGACAAAACACAGACAGACAGGCTGTAATGCAGACCTCCTGTAATAAGTTGCCAACAACTCTATTTTCATTCCATCATAAAAAGGTTATTATCTGTCTTTGATCACAAGGGTCTGCACAGTTCTTTCTAAAACTCTGTTTTGACGTTCTAGTTGCAAAGTCTAAAGCGAATGGTGCAAAAGCATTAAGGATGTGTTTGAATCCACTTTTGCTATTTTAAAGGCTCATGAAACACATTTTTTGAGCTGTTGACATTCATATATGTGTCCCACACTGCTAAAAACAGTATTAGGACACTTGTAGTTCACAAAAAAACTGAAAACTGGTTGTTTTTGTGTTATTTCGAACAAATTCGTACTTCTGGTTTAAAACTTACTTTTAAAGCTGCTTCACGGCCATGAAATCTTAGTGTGTATTCCACATGTAGACTGGACGTCTGTACCAGGGAGTTCCCCTTCGGTTGGGAAACTCCAGTGCTATAGGTGGATTTGATGTAGAAAATCCACGTATGGGAGGATTTGGTTCAGAAGCCGCTTGTCTGAAAGAGTATTGAACGGGCCAATGAAAGCAATGAATTGGCAGCGTAAGCATGCGCAGGTGTGCTTCATTGCCAATTATCCCAGCATATAAGCACACCTGGCGCGAGCAAATGCCATCCTTTTCGCTTAATGCGCTGCTCGCGGACAGTTCATGTGTTCATTGCGATGCCATGACTGTTGCGCAGTCAAGATCGCGGCTAGCCTTTGCAAAAAGGCAAACCACCCCAGTTGTCCCCTGCTCTGCAGCGGGCTATCGGGCAGATCTGAGGGTTCAGCGAGAGATAATCCGTCGACCACGGGCCCGCGGACCTCTCGCTCCTCCAAGCGCTCTATCTAAGCTTCGTGTGGGGGAAACAATCCGTCTAACAGATGGTAGCCCTTACGCTCGATGACACCGGAGACCAGACATCCACCGCGGCATCGGAGGGTGGGCTTTCATTGTCCGATGATGATCCAGACCCGCTCGCCCCCTTTGAGCAGGTGAGCCCTGTCAAAACAGATCCTGAAACGGACATGTTAGCCGTGCTTTCCCGGGCTGCTTCCGACCGACTAGAGGGGCATTCCCTTCTTCCCGGAGGTGCACAGTAGGCTCACACGGACTTGAAAGGCACTTTTTTCTGCTCGTGCTGCGTGTCCCTCCACCCTCACCACTCTTGACGGCGGAGCGGCCAAGGGGTATGTGACGATTCCTCAGGTTGAGTGCGCGATGGCGGTCAATCCGCACGACACCTCTTCTTGGCGGGGTCCGCCTCGTCTCCCATCCAAAGCCTGTAAGTTTTCTGCTCCCTCGGAGCTAGAGCTTACAAAGCTGCGGGCCAGGCTGCTTCCGCCTTGCATGCGATAGCCACCTACCAGCGCTACCAAGCGCAGGCGCTGGCCAAGCTGCACGAGGGTGGGTCCAACCCAGGCTTATAAGATTCGCACCGCAGCCGACTAAGCTCTTCGGACTACTAAGTCCGCTGCGTGTGCGTTGGGGAGGACGATGTCCACACTAGTGGTCCAGGAGCGCCACCCCTGACTAAAACTTGCCTGATATGCGCAAAGTCGACAAAGTACAGTTTCTTGTCTTCCCCATATCCCAAGCTGGTTGGCGACACCGTCTGCGAATTCACCCAGGAATTTGGGGCGGTGAGAGAGCAGTCTGATGGGTGATGTCACCTTCGGTGGGACCGTAAGCCCGCTCCGCCCGCCGTACCATTTATATCTTTTCCTCACCGAAGGCGCGTCGAAGCAGCCCCCTGCCCAGAACGCCGCTAAGTCCGGCAACGGACCGCGAAGCGTCCCTGGGACAGGTCATCTGGAGAAGAGGGAACTTGCTCTTTCCCCGCTGGAGGGCGGGGCCCCATTTCCAATGGCACTTTTTACTGCCATGAAATGAAAGGGCACTTTTCCACTTCCCCGGATGTGACAGCCCGAAATCTGCCAGTCTGAGACACTGTGCTCTCTAGCTCGCAGGTTCGGTGCGCTCCGCCAGTGGCTCACGAGTGCTGGGACGGTTTCCTTCCCCCAGCCCTCGAGCCCCCTCTCCGGAGTCAGGGTGAGGAGTCAGTGCTTCCCAAATCAGCACACCCGCTCCGCGCTGCCCCACCTCTGGTACGTCAGCGGTTGTAGCGATGACGCTATTAGCGAGGGCTCTGCCTGCCTGGTTAGCGCGGGCCAGCCCCTCGCGGTGGCTCATACACACAATCAGACTCGGCTACGCGATTCAGTTAGAGAAACAGCCCCCCAAGTTCACGGGCGTGTATTTCACCAGGGTCAACCCCCTGTCTGTCCCGGTCTTGCGAGAGGGGATTTTTGCCCTCCTGGTGAAGGGTGCAATCGAGCCGGTTCCTCCAGCCGAGATGGAGAGCGGGTTCTACAGCCTGTACTTCATCGTACCCAAAAAGAGCGGTGGGTCACGGCCAATCCTAGATCTGCGCATTTTGAACTGCTGTCTTCACAAGCTGCCGTTCAGAATGCTTACGCAGATGCGTTCGTCCTCAGGATTGGTTTGCAGCCATAGACCTGAAGGATGCGTATTTTCATGTCTCCATTCTTCCACGCCACCGCCAGTTCCTGCGGTTTGGGTTCGAGGGTCGAGCATGGCAATACAAGGTTATCCCCTTCGGGCTCTTTCTGTCTCCGCGGGTCTTCACCAAACTTGTGGAGGGTGCCTTAGTGCCCCTTCGGCTTGCGGGCATCCGCATACTCAATTATCTCGACGACTGGCTGATTTTAGCCCACTCGTGGGAGCAATTGACTATGCACAGAGACAAGGTGCTCCGGCATCTTCGCCTATTGGGGTTGCAGGTCAACCGAGAAAAGAGCAAACTCGCCCCGGTGCAGAGGATCTCTTTTCTCGGGATGGAGCTGGACTCGGTCACCATGGTAGCGCGCCTCACCGGAGAGCCCGCTCGCCTGTTGCTGAACTGTCTTAGGGAGCTCGACAGCAAAATAGTGGTCCCACTGAAATACTTTCAGAGGCTCCTGGGGCATATGGCATCCGCTGCCGCTGTCACGCCGCTCGGATTGCTACATATGAGACCACTTCAGCACTGGCTTCTAGATCGAGTCCCTCATTCCTGCAGGCCAGTGTGCCTCTGGGATAGGCGTCAAGTCATGTTGTTGTTTCAACAGATGCTTCCAACATGGGCTGGGGAGCTGTGTGTCGCGGGCATGCAGCTGTGGGCCTATGCAAGGGTGCCTAGCTGCATTGGCATATCAATCGCCTAGAGCTGTTGGCAGTGTTCCTCGCTCTCCACCATTTTTTCCTGTGTTGGAGCAGCAACACATGCTGGTCAGGACGGATAGTACGGCGGCGGCAGCGTATATCAACCGCATGGGGAGTACGCGCTCTCACCACATGTCTCAGCTCGCCTGCCGTGTGCTCCTCTGGAGGTATAGCTCCAGGTATGCTCAACTGTGCAGCCGATGCGCTCTCACGGCAGCAAATTCGCTCTGGAATGGAGACTCCACCCCGACTCTGTCCAGCTGACATGGGTGCGATTCTGGGAGGCCCAGATCGATCTGTTCGCTTCCCTCGAGAACGCTCATTGCCAGTTGTTCTTTACCTTGACCGAGGGCACTCTCGGCACTGATGCACTAGCCCACAGCTGGCCTCGGGGCACACGCAAGTTGCGTTTCCCCCAGTGAGCCTGCTCGCGCAGCTATTGTGCAAGGTCAGGGAGGACGAGGAGCAGGTTCGGCTAGTTGCGCCCCTCTGGCCCAGCCAGACCTGGATATCAGAGCTCTCCCTCCTCACGATGGCCCTCCCTTGGCAGATCCCTTTGAGAGAGGACCAACTCTCTCAGGGACAGGGCACCATCTGGCACCCTCGTCCCGATCTCTGGAACCTCCACGTGTGGTCCCTAGACGCGAGGAAGACTAAGGTAACCTACCGACTGCGGTGGTTGATATAATCACTTAGGCTAGAGCTCCCTCCACGAGGCGCACCTCCCTGAAGTGGAGTCTATTCACTGAATGGTGTGTCTCTCACAGAGAAGACCCCCGAACTTGCCAGATCAGTGTTGTGCTCTCTTTCCTTCTAGAGAAGCTGGAGAGCAGGCTGTCACCCTCCACTCTCAAGGTTTACGTGGCCGCCATCTCCGCTTATCATGACACGGTAGCTGGCGGCACCCCCCCTCATGCCCTCTTGGGATCTTACCCTCGTTCTCACGAGCTTGCGTTCAGATCCCTTTGAGCCACTTGAATCAGTATCCTTAAGATTTCTGTCCCTGAAGACAGCTCTGCTGGTCGCGTTGGCCTCCTTTAAGAGGGTCAGGGACCTGGAGGCATTTTCGGTCAGTGACTCTTGCCTGGAATTCGGGCCAGATTTTCTCACGTTATCCTGAGACCCCGCCCGGGTTATGTGCCCAAGGTTCCTACCACTCCCTTCAGAGACCAGGTAGTAACCCTACAAGCGCTGCCCCCGGAGGAGGCAGACCCAGCCCTTTCCTTACTCTGTCCAGTTTGCGCTCTGCGCATCTATGTGGACCGTGCTCAGTACTTTAGATCATCTGAGCAGCTCTTTGTCTGTTATGGCGGTTGGCAGCAGGGAAGTGCCGTAACCAAGCAAAAATTATCCCACTGGATTGTGGAGGCCATTCATGTTATTTGAGCAGAGGTCAGCCACGTCCCCCGCGAGTGCGTGGGCACTCCACTCGGAGTGTTGCATCCTCTTGGGCGCGTGCACGCGGCGCCTCTTTAATAGACATCTGTACAGCTGCGGGCTGGGCAACACCCAACATATTTGCAAGGTTTTACAATCTGCGAGTGGAGCCGGTTTCCTCAAGGGTATTAGGTAACCCTTGGTGATATAGGAAACAACTCGGTAGGGTGTTGTAACATGCTTGCGGTGCCTTTTTTCCCTGATGTGCACCTCCCTGTCTGTCAGTAAAGTTCCCCGTTCTGTGAGCCCTGCAGATTCCTCCGTGGCCCCCA